TAATTTTATTTTTAATTTTTTTTTATTTTTAATTTTTCAATAAAAATTATTATTTTTTTACAAAACAAAATTATGTTACGTACCAAAATTTAATTTGCTTCAAAAATCGTTCATCGACTCAAACGTTCTTCTGAAAAAATTTGTATTCCYTTGATTTTATAGTCGAACCACTGAAAAAAAATGTCCGGCGGTGAAAAATAGTTTTCTGGTTAAAATTGCATTTTCAAATATGTGCACATTCGATATAGAAGCAGAACGTTTTTTATTCGTTTTTTGTTCATAACCGCTTAAGCTTCTTTTTGTGTAAGCTGCAATATCATAAATCTGACCACGTTCGCATTCAACCTCCTTAAAATCACCAACAATCAAGCAACAGATCGCAAACATTCAATCAAGATCACTGCTGCATTACGAGTAGAAGCACTTGCTYGATTTCACGCCTCTSATTGCTGTGAAGTGCGTGTGCGATGCTGCCGCTGGTGCTGTAGATAGGCTCCGCCTTTATCTTACATTGATTTCGAACCGCGAGCAATTTTCATTTAAAGTCCTTCTTGCTGCTGCTGCATGCTTCCGGCGCTAAGTGGCATGCCACCCGCTGCTTGCAACAGCCAACTATCAATCTACAATGCCTTCGTAATTGCAAGCGATTGCAAAAAACCAAAAAAAAAAATATTGTATGAAAGTGTTGTTGCTTGCAGTAGTGTTAAGGCACAGCAGCCGTTGTTGCCAACAATTTCTCACGTGGCGTGGCGACGCTTTGACTGATTGCTGTATTTATTGGCAAAAGGTTAGCGCGCTGTTATTGCTATTGTTGTTGCCTGCATTGTATGGTGTTTTTTTATTGTTGGCGCTCTGTCATTATTGGCGCGTAATGAGCGTTTAATAAATGGTGGCCATTTTCACGCTGCCCACACAATCGCGGGAGCTGCGCAGGAGCTGTTTTTTATACCAGCCCGTAATATCAGTGTGTGGATATGTGTTCTTGTGTGTGTGTGTGTGTGATTCAATCAACCTTCTCCACTTGCTGGCAACGCATTTGCACCCGCTTAAACGTATGCAATGCAAAAACAATAAGCATAAAAGCCTTTTGCCGTTGCTGTTAGTGTAATAACAAACAAAACAAAAATCGTTTCTTTYTATAAAAACTCAAACGTTATTCCATTTGTTGCTTTTTTCATCGTTGTTGTTGTTGTTTTGTTGTTTTCGCCCATATGTTTAATGATGCACGATTGCTTTTGTGACAGTATTCATTTGTTTGATTTGCTGACTGCCTGACTGATGGCTCGCTCGCCAAATTGCCTGACAAATTGTCGCTACTGTGCGTTGCATTGTTCGCTCTCTCTTGTCGTGGTTGTTGTGCCATATCCCGTCTGCAGCGCCCAATGGGAGATTTTGTTCGCTGTCACTTGACGCCGCTTGAGATTTGTTTTGACTTTTCTGTTTGATAGCTCATAAGTGCTGATTATTTGAATATACAGGCTTTATTCATATTTTCGTAGAATTGAGTTACAAATTGAAATTGATTATTTTTCGAGTTTTGTGTTGACTTGAGCTTGGTTGGCAGCAAATGTTGTTCATTTGCCTCCTTAGTAATTTCATCAGTAGTCTGACGGCCCMCGGTGCGACTCGCTGACTTTTTCCGTTGTTAATATTTGCGAAATATTGGAAATAACTTAATTTTTCTAATTTCTGGAATACATTTTTTGAGAAGGCTACTTTTTTCTACAAGCTGGATGTTTATTTAATGAAAAAAACTTTCAGTTCAAGTTTACTATCAAAAAAAACAAAAAAGTTTTTAAATTCCACATTTTCACGTATTTCGTGTGCTGCCACTTTGAAATAGAGTTCGTAGAACTAGAACTTGTAATTAGCATAAAACTTACTACGTCCCTAGAACGTATGGATAGGAGTTTTTCTGATTTGYCGGAAAGTATTTGCCTTTCGTTTTGAAAGCGGACACATTRTACCACTACGTGATCTGCCGTTTTGATACAATTTCCACAGTGCATGYGAARARGAGATTCAACATGCTTGAATTTATACAGATCGCTTCTGAAGCAGCAGTGGTCAGATRAAAACTGCGTAAGGCTTAACCTAGTCTCTAMTATTGGGTGTCAGAGAGTGGGTCCATGGGAAGTCTTTCGATATAACATTGATTGCATCAATCGATACTGTTCTAAATGCGCAGCGTATTTGTTATGACGCCATTCTGTGTACCCAAGCAACTCCTCTCATGTACGAGCTATGTTTAGAAGCAGATAAYCATATCTGGGCGTAATACTGGATCACAGACTTTCATTCAAGCAGCTCTTTAGTGATTTCATGCACGTTAGTTTGAAGAATTGGAACTTGCATAGTTCRCATCTTGGAAAAAACTATGGACTATCTTGCGTAAAATGTTGGGAGAATATGTAGGTGGACTTCTCGTTCTACCTATTTTTTTTCATTACAATTCAGTAACCTTCAGTATTCTACCTCTGAAATAAGCTGGTTAAAAGCATTTTTTTTTGCTGTTGCCTATGACCTTATGCAGTTCTTTCTTTTTGTTCCAAAAGTGTAAAAGGAGTTCTGCGAAGTCACCTCTTGTTGTTGTCCACGTCGAAGCTTGAGACATTCAGCTCTCACTTGAGCGATTTTTCTAACCATCAGTATATTGGAGCATCGTTTCCAGCGTCGCCCATCGGCTACCGGTACTAGTGCTTTTGTGACATGTTTTATCCGCGTGCGTGTTTTACTCGTAACAGTGTATCTTTTGCCAAAAATAAATAAAATTTATTTTCAAAAAAGAAAGTTATTTATAAAAAAAGGAATTGTCAAGTTACTTCGGTTAAGTCATATATTAATATTTTCGCTGCCAATGATTTAAAATTTCAACAAAATCTCAACATAAACTCATAATAATTAAATTATTGATTGCTGTGCATTTCAGCTCGAGCTTGCATATCAAAATAGCCTCAAATATGTAACTTAACTGAAGCTTAAAAATATTCATCGCATTCCATACACGTCCCAAGGCATTAAATATTATAATTTTACATTATATTAGCTATCTTCAGGACGCCAGTTGTAAGTTATACATACGAGAGTGTTTTTGTATAATTTACCAGACAATTTAGACTTATCAGTAGCTTGGCATCTGCCTTAAAGAACCCTCTCCTTTCAACTGCATATATGTATGTATTTACTCAATGCATCAAACAGCCAACAACTTCAGTTAACCAGTAACCCTACTTTTGCYACTTGAGAGGCGACGATTTATGACTAAAATATGATATTAACGTTACAGCGCCTCCAAATATGCAATGCRCTTGCATTTAAGCGATTTTCTTTCTTCCTCTTCGCCTCTCCTGCCTAACTACGCAACTGTAGCGCGGCCAATAATCAACAAAAAATTGTTGTAACAACAACAACAATGCGAGATATTAAAATAAACAAACAACAGCAACAACAACAACAAGTTGCAGCAAAAACAAAAACGAAGAGTTGCATATTTAATTAGCGCAAATGCGCAGCAACMCAGTGTCTGTCGATGACAGCAGCAGGTGCGCGGATTGGCGGAAACTCCGCAGCGTTTATACAAGCGGTTGGCAAAAACAATGCTACGCTGCACTTGCCGGCCGCCGCTCGCCGCTCGCCACTCAACTTGCAATTATGTCAATAATCATTCTGGAGTGATCTACAAGCGTCCGAAATGCAGTGGTGAGTAAAAAAGCTAATTCTCGTTGCTCTTGTTGTTGCATACTTTGTTGCATACAACGCGCGCGACAAGCGTAGCGGTGGAGCGGCGCGTATGTATGTTTGTGCCCATGCATCATTTACCGCAGCAACAAGTACAAGCTTTGTGGTGCCACCTAAAYGCTGCGTTTTAATAAAGCGCACTTGTTGTTTTGGCTTTTGATCGCAACGCATGCGCAATTAGCCGCCACTGCGGCGGTGTGGAGACCCGTCYCCGCGGTGTGTGTGTTGTTTGTTGTGCAGA